ATAAGGTGATCAACAATGGTTACCATACTGCCTCTTGCTATTTTAAGAAGAATTGCCAGTTACAATAAAATTGAACTAAACAGTAAAGAATAAAACCAAAGCATTGGAGACATTACAGGACTTTAAAAGAAAATAATAGTCAACCGGAATGGGCATCATAATGAATCTTATTGTCCTCACAGTTTTGCCTATACTATCGAACTTGGTACTTCTAAGCAAAGCAGAATAGAGGAAAATCAGTCAAAACAAGATGGTGAGGGCAACACAGGATTTCAAATCAAGTTAATAGGAAATCAAAGTAGGTTACTATAATGTATACTGCTATTTTTTATTTATTTTCCCTTAATTAAAAAAAGAGAAAAAAGTAAATAATTCAAAAAAAAGGGGGGGGATTGAGATAAAAGAGGGCATAACAACAGAACAGCACAGGTCAAAACATAACCATTTAAGCAAAATAGTGTTTCAGCACAAGGTATCCTGACATAAAAATAGTTACCACAGTGTCTCTCTCCTTGAAATCTTTGAGTATAACTTTGTATACTGTAGCATCAAACATATCAAGACACTATAAAACCATTCAAGAGAATGACATAATTACAGGGTATTCAGAACCAATTAACAGAAAATGAACAATGGTTTCTGTATAATCTCCTTGTCTATAAAAGTTTTTGCTTATATTATCACACATAATAAAATCCAATAAGATACAACATGTTAAGACTGATGGAGACAGAAGTTTGATCGGACTTCAAAACAAGATGATATTAAATCAGCATTAGCTATTATGATGTCCTGTTTTCTCCAAAATAGCTGTTCCTACCATCCGATCTTCTCTGTCTCATTTCTGTTGAGCTCTTTTTCTGTCGTTTGTTGTCAGTTTGTCTTCTTCATTTCACTTTCTGCTCCATTCATTGTGGCCTCTCTGCCACTATTTCTGGAATCTTGGTATTTTCCTTTTTTAGACTATCCTGCAGTATTCTCTGTAAAGTTGAATTGGTGGTTGCAAATTCCCCTAGTTCCTCTTTATCCTGGAAGCACCTTGTTTTTCCATCAATTTCTAGGGACAGTTGTGCAGGATATATCAATCTTGGCTGGAGGTTATTATCTTTCGAAGCTTGAATTATTTCCCCCCATGCTCTTCGTGATTTGATGGTTTGTGCTGAGAAGTCTGCTGTAATTCTGATGAGTATTCCTTTGTAAGCGATCTGTTTCTTATCTCTGATGGCTTTTAATATTCTGTTCTTATACTGGATTTCTGGAATTTTGATTATTATATGCCTGGGTGTAGCTCTGTTTGGGTTGTTGGTGGCTGGAGTCCTGTATGCCTCATATATCTGTGTATCTTTACCATTTGCTAAATTAGGGAAATTCTCTTGGATTATTTCTGTGAATAGCTTTTGTAGTCCATTTGTTTGTGTCCCCCACTTCTTCTTTTATGTTCTTAATTCTTAAGTTATAGATCCTCTTATCATCTTCTAGCCTTTGTATTGTTGCTGTTTTTTGTTGTTATTTTTAAGAAGTTTTTCATTTCATGCTCCCATATTATAAATCTGCCCTCCAGTTCAGATAGTCTGTCCTTAGTTTCTTTCAAGCTGTTATGCCAGTTTTTGATAAGAGTTTTTAGTTTCCTGGTAGTCTCTTTGAACCTGCTTCACGTATTCTATGTTTTCTCTATTTTCTCCATCAAACAATTCTCTCCTTTTTTTCTGTTCTTCCATTCCACCATCTGTTTTTTCTTGGGCGGTCCTTAGCATTTCTCTAACTATTCTGCTATGTCTTGCTTCAGGTCATTGATAACTTCACTCCTGAACTCATCTGTGAGACTCTGGAGATAGTGCTTTATGTCTATTGGTGCCGTGTCTGCTATTGCATGTTTCTCAGGATTGGGGCCCGAGGACCCTTTCTTGTTGCTCCCTCTTCCCATATTTTTTGTTCCTTATATACAAGCATATATTGGAGGCCCAGCTTCCTTCCCTGTTGGCCACAGTCTGTCTGAATTGCTGGCTAGGTGTTCCCACCCACCACAGTGCACCAGGGAGATACAGACCGGGCAGCCTATGCTGGGCCCGCCCCTCCAGGTCAACCTACCAAAGGCTTCACTGCTAGGGTGCACCTCTAGGCTGATGGGACCTGGATTGGGCTAGCCTACTGGGTCTCAGCCAGCGGCACCACGCAGGCCAGGCCCGCCCTACCAATCCCGCTTCAGGGGGGATATGTGGCTGAAGTCACTGCAGCATCTCGTTCTGGATAGTCTGCCTGGTCCGAGTATGTCCTCTGCTGAAGCCTTGTCTACAGAAGGGTCCCTGATCCACTCACTCACCGCAGATCAATGCAGGGCACCCGGCCAATCCCGCTCCCAACTCCATTCAATGCTTCCCACTCTGAGAGCTTTCGCACCTCTCTCCCCGCTGTGCCGACTGGAACGCAGCAGCGGCTGCAGAAAATTCAAATCGCAGCTTCTAGTGGCGCAAGGTCCAGCTTCCATGCTGAGACCTTATCTGTTCCTGCAGTATCACCAGAATTGCGTTTCCAGTTGGTTTCTCTTAATTTAGCTCGTTCCTGGGTCAGCAAAGAATGTCCCCCCTTGCCTAGGACTTCCTGCCCGGCACCATTCCTGGATTTCAAGTGCGGTTTCTCAGAGAGCCTCCAAAGCTGCTGCTATCTATCCGCCATGTTCTCCTGGAACTCTAATATAATGCTATCTTTATATAACTTTTAACCTCCTACTACATGCCAGACTCTGTTGTATGCTTTTCTATTATTTCCATTAACCCTTCTGAGGAAACTAAGTAGGTTTTTAAAGATTTTCACAATACAGATGCAAAATCAAGGCTCAAATTGTTACAACTGCCCCACAAGTCACTCAGCTAATATTGCCAGATCTTGAATTTCTGATTTGGCATATTATTTTTTATTAGTTTTCCTTCGGGCCAACACTTTCTGAAGACGTTAGTTTCCCAGGAAGATTTTGGATTTTGAATAAAGATGTGTTACTTTCTTGGGACTATCAGTGGGGAAGCTACTGTCTTCAGTGGAATAAGGACACTTATTTTAGCATATTTTTGCATAAAATATTCCATATTTTACAATATGGGATAAGGACCCATATTTTAGGTTAGGAGAATAGCACTCATCTCTAGAGTCCCATAATTCATAATTTTTAGGCACTTGTTGCTCTCTATCCTCTGAATATAGGACAATTTTATTAACAATAAACTGTTAGCCTTAATATCAAAAATCTAATTCTGTCATAGGTTTAGAAGCAAGTTCTAATGATGACTAAATGGTATTAAAATCTAATAGACAAAGAAACATGAAAGATCACAACATATTTTATTTTATGCAGGCAAGAAACCAGGCTTTCCTCACTAAATAATGGAACAGGAAAAAAATGAAACCATACTTCAGTGTAAAGGTTTACTAAAAATGTCTGATGATCTTATAAAGTGTGGATACCAGTTAAATTAGGATGCTATCAAGTCTCTTCCTTCTGGAAACTTAAGAGACATGGTTTAGACGTATCTATTGGGGACAGGTTGGTGCCGACCTAGATGTATCCTTGCCTAAGGGCTGACAGATGGATTAAATGACCTCTCAGCATCCTTTACAGTCTCACACTTCTGTTTTCCTATGATTGTGGACTGGCTTGTTAGCTGATTCAGATTTGCCCTTGTAAGTCAGTGAAGGAGTCAGCTGCTTAAAAGAAAACGGGTAGACTTTTTGTCTCAAAACTAAGAGCCTGACTACCCTCTTCCAGATGAAATTATACCACCAAATATTATTTTCTTGAGCTGAGAAGTAGTTCTGATCTTCAACATTTCCCTAAAGTGACACTAAGAGAAAATAAAATAAGGAACCTTATTAGATAAGGGTTTAGCAAGCATCAAATCCCTGTAGCAGGACTAAGAACCAAAATGCAGGAAGAGGGAGGCCCAAATCAGAGAAAGCGAGAGATAGGGCCATAAAGTTCAACTATGCCTAACTGGAAATGAGCTCTCTGCTTCTGTAGAAAATAAGTACTCCTCCTTTTCTGCCAAGTTCTCTTAGTTGCTTGATGAAAGCAGAACCTCTACCAGGAAGGAACACTGGCCAAGGCACTAGGAACACTGAAGTATGGCAAACAAACATGTCTCTTACTTTCCTACAAAATACTGAACTCATACTGGATATATAGCAAGCAACTACAAAGCAGAGGTCTACCTGCCTTAAGCAACAAATACTGACTGAGTTGATAATAGGCACAAGGTACTGTTCTGGGTGGTAACCAAATGTACAAATCTTGACCCATGTGGAGCTTCTATTCTGCTAAAAAAAAATACAGGTAAATAATAAAGAAATTTTAGGCACACTAGGAATTATGGCGAGCAGACCAGCCCTACCTGCCAAAGTGCACCTGAGAAAGGAGGTTCTTATTGACATGTAAAGACTGGCTAGAAATTATAGAGAGGTATGAGTTAGTGGGAAAAAAGCTCCTTGGAAAATTTTCCATTTAAATTTGTCAAACATTGGACTGGCGATGGAGCTCATTAATAGAGTACTTGCCTAGCATGTACAAGGACTTAGTTTTAACCCCAGAACTAAAGATAAAAGTGACCAATACTATCAATTTACTTGTGTGGCAGGATTAGTGATAATTTATATCTTTCTCTTCCTTACAGTCATTCAAACATTTATATAATGAATTATTTTAAAACAATATCCAAGTTATAACTAGCACTATTTTACTCATTTTGCCCATGTAGTGTATAGTCTGTTGAAGCCTATATTAGTCTTCAAACTATTACTTATAAATTAGGATCAAATTGTGTAATGGTATAAAATTTCAAGCCCAAATTCAAGATCAAATACCAGTTTTACCTTCACATTATAGACATTGAGTCTAATCTCAAAAAAGTGTTTGGTGTTATTTTACTCAAATAAGATAATACGTGTGACATTGTGATACGGATTTTTCCCCACCTACGTTGAATGTGAATTACAGGTTGGTTCCTGCACTACAGGTGGACCTGTGGCAGCCCAGCAGTATTGTCCATGTGTCAGAGGGGACAGTTACTGATGTCCACATTCCCCAAAATTCTTCCCAGGCCCTGTTAGCCTTCTTCCAGGAAGCCAACATCAAATACAAGTAAGTATTCCTTTTTACTTGGTACAAAATATATTTGTATTGAATTGAACTGAATGACTATTGTATTCAGACTATCCAAGTGCTTATGATAGTGTTTTAATTTTTAATTTTGAGCAAATTGACATGAGTATAGTTACCTTTGAAGGGCTTATTAGTCTAATGGTGCCTGGGAGCGACGACATGGATGCCCCATTTCACTCTTAGCATTACAGGACAACTTGTCAACACTGACTGTCTTCTGTGTGAAAAAAGGAGAGACCTGCCAAGGCCCAGAGGGTGATGGGAAGGCAGGGAATGAAAAGGCTTTCTACAGGAGCCATGTCACCCAGGGGAGGCTGGTTGGGAGAAAGTCTGCTGAGTGGGGGCAGAAGCCCAGACCTTATCCTTGTGAGTGGTGCTGCCCACTCAGACAATATAAGCAAGATATCCATGGGGCAGAGGACCAATAAAAGGTAACAACAGGAGTCCAGGCAAGCAAGGGTGAGGCCCTAAGTTAGGATCAGAGTAGTAGAATCAGGAGACCATTCAAAAAATATGTCAGAGGTAAAACTAACTGGACTCTCCACTTGGCTGGTGAGGGTGAAGCTGAAGATGTCTCCATTTTATTCTATCCTGGAGAACTTAACTCAGTAGACAGATTTGAATGGGCTAGATATTCTAAGGTTTTTTTTAAGAAGAAATAGAATAAAAAGAAAAAAAGCAGAAGATATGATACCCACAGGAGTCAAAGAAAAAGGACCCCAAGAAAAGAAATTAAACCCAAAGCTAAGGGCTGTTGTGACACCCAGCAAAAAAGAGACTGATCTCCTCCTTTGGATTTGATGATGAAAACTATGTTGTTAACACTGACAACAACTTGATTATTAGGGACAGAAGATAGAGAAGTAAATAGAAGGTCAGCACTGAGAGCAGACTATAACTCTTAGCCATTAAAATAAGGAAAGAGGCAGAGGATAAGTGACCACAAAAAGATGCAGCAAATGACTGTGTCTTAGCTACTTTTCTTATCACCAGGATGCACTACCCACAGATTAAAGGAGGAGAGGTTTATTTTGGCTCACAGTTTGTATAGATTTTAGTCCATAGTTTGCTTTGGCTCCAAAGTAGGACAGCATGGCAGAGGGGTACAACAGAGGAAAGCTGCTTGGCTTGAGACATCCAGGAAGCAGGGAAAGCATCAGTGGAGGAACTGGGAAGGGAGACAGGACCTCTGACATCACAAAACCTCTCTCAGCCACTGTCTTCATCCCTGGGATAAACTGCTTAGAAGATTTGGGATTTCTCCCAATGGGGGGAAATCTGGCATATCCTTAGAGGAGAGAGACCATGATAATACCAGACAACACGCAGATGGAGGGGTAAGTTTGAACAGTAGGAAGGATACCTCATCCTCTAAGACTGAAGAGGTAAATCTGAGTCCACTTATTATCACAAAGAAAAAAATTATAAATTGAAGGTAATAGCTGGTGATTTTCTAGATGGGGTAAGCAAGATTATCTACCAAAAGTTAAAAAAAAATTTCAGGTTTTGAAAAGTGCTGTCAAGAAGACACCTGAGATGAAAACCAATAAAACCAGTTGTTTCTGAGAAGACAGAAGAAAGCACTGATACAGAGTGAAAGAGTTTTCAAATAGAAACATAGAATGGTCAGAAGAGAAGAGAAAGGAGGTAAAGAAAGGAGAGGAGGGGAAAGGGGGGTAAAAAGAGGAGGGGAAGGGAGGGGAGAGGAGAAAAAGGCAAATTTAAATCACTAGAGAATGACCAGGAACAGTCTTGAATCTCCTTTGTGGTGACAAGAGTACAGGTAAAGGGCACAGCTAAGAGTTAGAGAAAAGTACCATTAACGAGGAGCTGTCTGACACTGAAGGAAAGATGAACTTTGCCTGCAAGTTAGATTAGTGCAGAAGCAGAGTACAGGAGAACAATAACTTTCCTCCCTGAGGGCCCATACTGGATAGGAAGAGCATGCGGAGATAAAGACCCACAAAAGAAAGTGTGGCCTTAAGAGTCAAACTTTCATTTGGGTGAGAATATAAAAAAGGAGAATCCTCTGAAAAGAGGACGACACAGGGAGTTGGTTAACAATGGAAGAGTGAACACAGAGAAAGAGGGACGGTGGGGAAAAGGAGGCTCTGGGAAAAGGCAGGGTAGAGTAACGAGTTAATGAAACAGAAAGAGATGGCTTACCTTTCATTGGAATCCTAGCACTTCACGGCTGAGAGGCATAATTGTAAATAACTACCTTCAATTACTCCAACATATTAACAGGTCATTATACTGTCAAAACTGGCAGATGGGTCCCTGATGGTAGATGGGAAGGTCTGAGTAAGCTGATGCCTCTATGAGTCAACAGTGAGGGGCCTGGACTTAAAAGCCTGGACCAAAGGGTGCAAATGTCAGCACTATCCTGGTCCACACAAAAACTGCCTTGCCAGAAAGACATTTACAGTCTTATTAAAATACCAATATGCTTTCTGTAGGGAAGTATTTTAGCTTTGCTTCCACACAGAATCACAGCTGTGCATAAAACTATTGTTTGTACTGGACACACTTTAGTCATGCTTTGATTCTTTGAATGCCTAGCAAGAAAGAGCCTGGCAGTTATATGTGTAGGTACCCAGGAGCAACTCACATGCTTCATTAATTATTGTTCAGTAGAAAAACATACACCAGTTACTTTAACAAGTCTATTTTCTACCATTAAATATAGGTCATGTGGAACCAATATAGAATAAAATACCAACTTTATGTCACAGAGCCTAGAGGTTTAAAAATGAGTATTTTAAATCAGTTTTCTCCTCATGAAGAACAATCACTTAGAATTACTCATTTTGTTGCTCCCAAGATAACAACACATAAGAGCCAATTAAATTCCATAGGCATAGCAGGTAGAGATCATTTTCATTGACTTTTATAATTGTAGCCTGGGGTATTTTCAAAAGATTATCATTTGCTCTGTACAACTATGTATAATGTATCACTATAGAGATCTATAAAACAGAGATAATGTGACCCCATGTGTCTGGCCCCTAGGTGATCAGCCCCTCTCCATGAGGTGACTCATTCATTCTACTGTTAAAAATTCAGACATTTCAAAAATGCTTGAAAAACTGGCAATGAAATTTCCATTTATGATGGCATTCCCCTACCCTGGAAGCTTTGAGGAGGTAGTTTTGTATTAAGTGATGATAACACTTGAAATTGTTCCAGTTATTATAGGAATGTACTCAATTGCAGGAATCTTAATCAGCTATAAGACACTAAGAAAATACAACAGTTTAAAAGGCCTTTTTGGTACTCTATTTCACAGCTTATCATCAGTATACTGGTCAACTATTTGACAAACAAAATGAGGCTGGGTCACATTTTTCAATGTAGTTATTTTTAATTATAAACTCAGCCTCTTAGAATGTATATCAGCATACAGTCTAAGTGACTGAACATATACTACTGTGTCGCTGTGACAAAATACCATGGACCTTTTACACTGGACATGCAGAAGGAGGTTTTTTTTTGGAAAATTTCCAATTTAGGCAACTCTATCCACATTGTTTTTCCTTTGTGTCCTGAGAAAGAAAGAAGTAACCAGGAGAAATAGTCCCGGAAGGAAAACATGCTGAAGATTACCTGCCATGACTGGAATATGGAGACAATTTACACCCACCTCCTTCCCAGTCAAACCCACATCCTCTGGATAGCTCAGGGTCTCTCCTAGTACAACAGAGTTTGGACACTGACACAGAACTCATTTGGTTCTTAACACTTGCCTTAGCCAAAACACCTCATTATGTAGTTTCTTGCCTCTGGAAAGAAAAAATAATGCTAATACTGATGCTGTTCAGGTTGACAGCTTAACATTCCACTCATGTTTTAAGCCACTGCAAGCAGAAAATTTACCAAGTTTTGTGCCACTTCACCTCATCTTGCTTTCCAATCCATTTCCAATTTTAAAATAGAAAGTTAAAGCAAAAAAAGAACAATAAGCTAATGATCAATTCCTTATTAGTGCTTTGTCTGCAGCAGGTACTCAATAAATAAGAAGTAAGTAAAAAAAAAAAAAACTGTCATATACCCACCACAACCCTAAGTAAATTTACTTCCTTCATGGATCAAAAAGTACTCATTCAAGAGACTAACGATAATCTTTTTAATTAATTGGCTTATATAGATCAACCTTGAAAGTCACTTAGAGATTCTATCACATGTTATACTAATAGCACTTAAACCATCAAGCAACAAGTTCTTTTAGAAGATAAAACATGATAACAAAGCTTTTAAGCCATCTGCAAGCCCAGAAAAATCACTGAAGGGCTCTATCTTTAAATGTTGTAAATGAATGAAGTACCTTATTACTTTCTTGCATTCTCATTAAGGATGACATGAATATTGTGAAGACACCCTCTAGTTGTAGTTGGTTCCCTACTGTCTTAGTTACTTTTTACTGGTTGCTGAGACAAAATATCTGATGCCAAAAGTTGGGAAAAGAAAGGTTTATTTCTTACAGGTTTTAGTCCATACTCCGTTGGCTCCAAGGCAGGCTGGCATGGCTGGGCCACAGTTCATGGCGGCTGCAAACAGCAAGGCAGAAACCAGCAAAAGAGCAAGACACACCTTCTTCCTGCCATTACGTTATATCCTGGCTCCACCCCTATATGGGTGTAGCACTCACACCATCAATCCAAGCACTAGACAATGAAACCAATCACAAATGCATAATGTAAATGCATGAGGCCTGGGGGCCACCCACATAAACCATGACACATGCACTGAATGAGCGTGGCTTCCCTACCCTGGGCTCAACCTCCAGTTTCAATGCACTCATTAGACTAGCCGAGCCTTTCTTCTCAAGGCATTTTTTATAAGGACAGGCAGCAAGGTAACTCCAGCTCTGGGCACTTCTTCCGTTGCCACTTGAGAACCATAACTTCTTTTGTATCTTTTCTTTTTCTCTCTGGCTCAAGTGTGCTGGGTGATGACATTAAGACAATTTCTCTGTAAAGACACAGACATGGATAGATAGAAGCAGCAGGAAAGAGAAGGAGGGGAGCAAGTAGAGAAGCAGCTGGGGTTCAGTTTTCATTAAGTCACACTGGAGTTAGAGTCACAATAACTTGGGTTCACATTCCAAATTCAAATTCTGGCTCTGGAATTAGACACTGGAGTGTCACTGGCAAATTTGTATCCCTTTTGAGTCTCAAGTTCCCCAGTAAAATGGAGATAATAATAGAATTGGTTAATTAACTAAGATTGTGTGCATGAAATGTGTAGAATGGTGCCTCACTACTGGTAAGGAAATGTAAATTCTCACAGGATCAGTGGTTGTAGCTGCTCAGTGGTAGCTATCCGTAGAGTAATACTATTATTTGGGGGTACTTGCCTATAGTTTTACACTTTAAATTTACCACTTACTTAAGTTTTTATTTCCTGAAAAAGAACATTTTCTCTGTATTTTATATTTTTAAAAATGTCAGTCCATTCACATCATAAAACATTGGGGCACTTATATGTTACTCCTTTATTCTTGTCATATATGATTTTATGTTTTGGAGTTGCCTGATTTTTCCCTCATTTTAATTTACTTTTTAATTATATCTATTATTTTAATTCCAGGATCCTCATAGAAGATCTTCAGAAAACACTGGAAAATGGAAGAAGCCTACAAACTCAGAGAAACAGACGATCGCTCCCTGAATATAATTATGAAGTTTATCACTCCTTAGAAGAAGTGTGTAATCAAACAAACTTTTCTTTGTTTTTTACTAGTTCATCTCTGTCATTTTGGTATAAGAATTGGGCAAGAAACATGAAGTCAGACACTGGAACCGGGAAGAATACATAGAACTATATGGTTTAAGCAGCTCAGTTCACACATCTCCTCCACCGGGCCTTTTATTAGTGCATAAGAAGCAGTAACATGATCTGAATTTTACTTGATTTGCCTAGTCTAACCCTACAAGAACACAGGAAATGCAATGGAAAAGTTATGTAATGTTTAATTTATAATGGTAAAGGCTTTCACTGAAAAGGCACAGAAAGTGGAGCTAGCCTGAGTTTCAGGGAACTGCGTTGGTTGAAAAATACAGTAGATTTTGATACTTACTCTGTACCTTGGCAAAGCTGCAACCTCCCAAAGACCAAGCTTCATTAGCAGCACCCCTGGACCTCTCAACATGCTGTTATTTATTCCATCGAGAAAACTCACAGAAACCTCATCATCACCACCACATCCTTTACTGTGCGTCTAACAACAGCTTGCTATTCTTCAAATAACAAATTAAGCAAGAAGGTAGATATTTTTATGTCCCAAAAACTGAGTAAACCCCTCTGGCCATTAACCTCCAACATATCACCCAACCCCACTGCACACAGAGATGCTACCTTTCACAGTTCTTAGTTACGTAATTGTATGATCATTCAACAATTGCATGTGCTAATAAGATACAGGTTCCATGAGGGCAAACTTACTTGCTGTATCCCAAAGGCAGGCAAATAGAGTCCACCAAATAGGTACAATACACATTTTCTTAATAAAATAAACAAACCATGTGTTTCTCATATTTACCCTGATTTAAACAAAAGAACACTCTACAAAATTAATAAGATCCTGTTACATTATTAAGAGTATTTAGTATTTTTGGTCCTTTGATGAAAACTCTCCTTTCAAAGTTGTTTTCACATATTTCATGTCTCAATATACTTAGAAGCTTTAAATTAAAAGCAAGAAAGAGTTTTAGATACATTGGCACACAGAAGTACTGTCAACATGACTGAAAAAATTCAAATTTAAAAATATATAGATATAGTATAGATATAGATATGTGTGTATATATGCATGGATGTGTGTACCCTGCTCATTATATTAAGAATGGAACAAAAAGTAAATATAGGTACTTTCAAAAATATTTTTAAAGCACAGATCCTTTCACCTCATGGAACAGTGGGGCAATGTTACTTCTTTATTGTTTTTTAAAATTTTATTTAAAGAAAAACAAAACAGAAAAAGGGTTGAAATAATACATAATTTCAAAAAACAAACAGTAAGAAATCACTAGTTGATAAATTACATAGTGTCTTCTTAGAAATACTTGTTCAAGTTACAAAAATAAAGCATAAAAAATGGACATTCAAACAGCGAGACTGTAAACAGTTCTGTTCAACAATCCAGAAAAACTTAGTAATATGCTTATCAACACTACACACTTAAACATACATGCAGTTATATCCTTTAGAGCACTTTCCTTTCCTCTCTTTTTTACAATTACACATTTTGGGTTTTATTACTCTTGCATTTCTTATTACTTTTTACACTAGAGACACAATGTGATATTTATAAATATAATTCTTATTTATTTCACTAATGAGGATAGCCTCAAGTTGTCTCCATTTGCATATGAAGGCCTCAAGCTCATTTTTTATAGCTGGGTAATAGTTCATTGTATAACAATACCACGTGTTTTTCATCCATTCTGTGGTTGATGGGCATCTTGGTTGTTTCCAAGATTTAGTTATTACAAATTGTGCTGCTATGAACATAGGTGCACATATATCACTGTGATATGACCTTTTCAGTTTTTCTGGGAAAATACCCAGGAGGGGAATAGCTGGATTGGATGGAACTTCCAGTCCTAGTCTTCTGAGAATTCTCCATACTGATTTCCATAGTGGTTGCACCAGTCTACACTCCCACCAACAGTTGGAGAAGGGTTCCTTTTTCCCCACAGCCTCACCGATATTTGTTATCAGTTGATTTCTTGATGACAGCTATTCTTTCTAGAGTGAGATGAAATCTCAATGCTGTTTTAATTTGCATTTCTTGAATGACCAATGATGGTGAACGTTTCTTCATGTATTTATTTGCCATTTGTATATCTTCATCTGAGAACTGTGTGTTCATCTCAGATATCCATTTTTGGAGAGGGTCTTTGAAGGTGAGGGGCTTGATGTTTTTCAATTCTTTGTATGTTCTGGATATAAGTCCTTTGTCTGAGGGGCTGCTGGCTATAATTCTTTCCCATTCTGTGGGTTTTCTTTTCACTCTGTTAGTGATTTCTTTTGAAGTGCAGAAATTTTTCAATAATATGAGATCCCAGTTGTTGATTCTTTGAAGTATATCCTGTGCAGTTTGCATTTTGTTCATGAATTCTCTGCCCACCTCTATGTCTCCAAAGCTTCTACCTACCTTGTCTTCCAGTAGATTTAGTGTTTCTGTTTTAATATTTAGGTCTTTGATCCATTTAGACTTTATTTTGTACATGGTGATAGGCATGAATCTAGTTTCAGTCTTTGGCATGTGGAGAACCAATTTTTCCAACACCATTTATTAAAGAGGCTATCCTTCTTCCAGTGAACATGTTTAGCCCCTTTGTCAAATATCAGGTGGCTGAATGTCTTTGAGGTTGTATTTGTATCTTCTAATTTATTCTATTGATCTTTAGGTCTGTTTCTTTGCCTGTATTATGCTGATTTTATCACTGTGGTTTTGTAGTATAGTTTCAAGTTAGGAATTGGGATGCCTCCTGCCTTAACTTTGTTGCCTAGAATTGTCTTTGCTATTCTATGTTTCTTCTGGTTCTAAATGAATTTTAGGAGTGTTTTCTCCTATATCTGTGAAGTATGCTAGTGGTATTTTGATTGGTGTTGCATTAAATCCAGGTAACAGTTTTGGGAATATGGCCATTTTCACAATATTGGTTCTTCCTAGACAAGAGCAAGGAATATCCTTCCATTTTCTAATATCTTCTTCAATCTTCTTTTTTAGCATAGCATAATTTTAAGCATATAGGTCCTTTACATTCTTAATTAGGTTACTTCCTAAGTATTTCATTTTTTAGATGCTATTATGAAAGGTGGTATTTCCATAATTTCTCTCTCAGTGAGTTTTTTGTTTGTGTACAGGAATGCTATTGATTTTTGAACACTGACTTTGTATCCAGCTACACTGATGAATTTATTACGTTTAGTAGTCTCTTAATGGAGTTTTTATGATCTTCTATGTAGTAACTTCTTCCTTTCCTACCTTTACTCCTTTTATTTCTCTCTCTTGTCTGATTGCCCTGGCTAGTGTTTCCATACTACACTGAATAGGAGTGGTAATATGGACATCCTTGTCTTATTCCTGATTTTAGAGTGAAAGCATTCAGTTTTTGTCCATTTAGTATAATGTTGGCTATTCATTTGTCATAGATGGCCTTAATGAAATTGAGGTAGACACTATGTATTCCGAGTTTCTGAAGGGTTTTTATCATGAGTATGTGTTGGACTTTATCAAAAGCTTTTTCTGTATCTATTGAGATGACCATGGGGTTTTTTTTCTTGGCTTTGTTGATATGGTGTATTACATTTATTGATTTGCATATGTTAAACCATCCCTGCATTCCTGGAATGAATCCCACTTGGTCATGATGTATAATCTTCTTGATGATTTGCTGCATTTTATTTGCCAGTATTTTATTGAGAATCTTTGCATCAATATTTATGAGTGAGATTGGCCTATAGTTCTCCTTTTTGGTTGGGTCTTTCTCTGGTTTTGGTATCAGAATAATGCTTGCCTCCAGGAATGACTTAGGGAGGATTGCTTTCTTTTCAATTTCATTGAAGTGGTTAAGGAATATTGGCATCAAATCTTCTCTAAATTTCTTGTAGAATTCAACTGTGAATCCATCAGGACCTGGATTTTTCTTTGTTGGTAAGTTTTTAATTATATTTTCAATTTCAAAAGCTGATGTTGGATTATTCAAAATTGCTATATATTCTTGTTTGAGCTTTGGTAAATCATATATTTCTAGAAATCTGTCAATTTCCTCTGTGTTTTACACTCTATGTGAGTAGAGATTTTCGAAGTAGGTATTCATGATCTTTTGAATGTCCATATCTGTAGTAATTTCCCCCTTTTCAGTGCTCATTGTGTGAATTTGGGTTTTTTCATTCTTTTTATTTATAAGGTTAGCTAGAGGTTTGTCAATTTTGTTTATTCTCTCAAAAAACCAGATTTTTGATTCATTGATTTTTTGCATTTTTTTTTAGTTTCAATTGCATTGATTTCTGGTCTACTCTTTACAATTTCCTCTCTTCTATGAGCTTTGTATTTTTTAAATTTTATTTAAGGAGAAAAAGAAAAAAACAGAAAAAGGGTACAAGTTATACAGAATTTCAAAAAAATAAACAGGAAATCACTAGTTAATAGATTATATATTGTCATCTTAGAAATAGTTGTTCAAGTTACAAAATTAAACCATATAAAGTGGACATTCATACAGTGAAACTGCAAACAGTTCTGTTCAATGATCCAACAAAAACTCAGTAATATGGTTATCTATCTTATACACTTAAATATACATGCAGTTATATCTTTTAGAGCACTTCCTTTTCCTCTCTTTTTTTACAATGACAATTACACATTTTGGGTTTTATTACCCCCACAGTTCTTATTACTTTTTTTGAAGAGAATAAAACCATATAACAAAATATATACCATATAACCACATAACAAAACAGAGTCAGTCAAATCAAAAGGATGGATATAATACATACTGTAAAAACAAAATACAAGGTGATCAACATTGGTTACCATAATGCCTCTTGCTATCTTAAAAAGAATTGCCCATATCATCATTTATAATAAAATTAAACAAAACAGTACAGAACAAAACCAATAAAACCAAAACATTGGAGACATTACAGGACTTCAAAAGAAGGTAATAGTCAAATCAGAGTGGGCATCATAGTGAATCTTATTGTCTTCAGAGTTGTTGCCTATACTCTCAAACTTGGTACTATCAAGGAAAACAGAATAGAGTAAAATCAGTCAAAACAAGATGGTGATAGAAATACAGGGTTCAAATCAAGTTAATGGGAAATCAAAGTGGGTTACTATAATATACACTGCTATTTTTTATTTATTTTATTTATTTGTCCTGTTATTTTATTTTGTCTAACAACAAAACAGCACAGGTCAGAACATAACCATTTAAGCAAAATAGTGTTTCACCACAATATATCCCGACATAAAAGTAGTTACCATAATGTCTCTTTCCTTGAAATCTTTGAGTATAACTTTGTATACTGCAGCATCAAACATATCAATATAATGTAAAACTATTCAAGAGAATGACAGTATTACAGGGTATTTAGAACCAACTAACAGAAAATGAACAATGGTTTCTGTATTATCTCCTTGTCTATAAAAGTTTTTGTTTATATTATCACATATAATAAAATCCAATAAGATAGAACATGTTGAAACTGATGGAGACAGAAGAACAAAAGTTTGATGGGACTTCAAAACAAGATGATACTAAATCAGCACCAGCTATTATGATATCTTGTTTTGTCCAAAATAGCTGTTCATACCATCCAACCTTCTCTGCCTCATTTCTGTTGAGCTCTTTCTCTGTCATTAGTTGTCAGTTTGTCTTCTTCATTTCGCTTTCTGCTCCATTCATTATGGCCTCTCTGCCACTGTTTCTGGAATTTTGGTATTTTTCTCTTTTAGAATGTCCTTCAGTATTCTCTGTAGAGTTGAACTGGTGGTTGCAAATTCCCTCAGGTCCTCTTCATCCTGGAAGCTCTTTGTTTCTCCGTTACTTTCTAGGGACAGCTGTGCAGGATACACATCAATCTTGGCTGGAGGTTATTGTCTTTCAAAGCTTGAATTATTTCGCTATAATTCTGATGAGTGTTCCCTTGTAAGTGATCTGTTTCTTGTCTCGGACAGCTTTTAATATTCTGTTCTTACATTGGATTTCTGTAATTTTGATTATTATATGCCTGGTGTAGTTCTGCTTGGGTTGTAGGTGACTGGGGTCCTGTGGGCCTCATAGATCTGAGTATCTTTACCTTTTTCCATTAGGGAAGTTCTCCTTATTTCTGTGAATAGCCTTTGCAGTTCATTTGTTTGTAACCCTGCTTTTTCCTTTACATTCTTAATTCTTAAGTTCTAGATCCTCTTATCATCTTCTAGCCTTTGTATTGTTACTGCTTGTTTCCTTGTTATTTTTAAGAAGTTTTTCTTTTCATGCTCCCACATTACAAATCTGTCCTCCAGTTCAGATAATCTCTCCTTAGTTTCTTTCAAGCTGTTATATCAGCTTTCAATAGAATTTTTAGTTTCCTGGTAATCTCTTTGAACCTGCTTCATGTATTCTATATTTTCTCTATCTTCTCCATCAAACAATTCTCCCCTTTATTTCTGTTCTTCCATTCCACCATCTGTTTTTTCTTGGGAGGTGCTTAGCATTTCTTTAACTATTCTATTTATATCTTCTTTACTTGGTTAAATACTTCACTTTTGAACTTGTTTATGAGGTCCCAGAGATATCTCTTTATGTCTATTGGTGCCGTGCCTGATATTACATGTTTTCTGTCCTCATTCTCCTTTGCGTTTACCTTTCCTGGATCAGTATTCTGAGGATTGCGGGCCGAGGACCCTTTCTTGTTGCTCCCTCTTCCCATACCTTTTGCCCCTTCCATACAAGCATATATAGGAGGCCTAGTTTCTTTCTTTGTCAGTTACAGTTTGTTTGAATAGCACCGGCTAGGTGTTCCCACCCACTGCAGTGTACTAGGGAGACACAGACATGGGCAGCCTATGCTGGGCCTGCCTCTCCAGTCAGTCAACCTGCTGAAGGCTTCACTGCATTAGGGTGCACTGCCAGGCACAGGGACCTGGTTTGGGCTAGCCTACTGGGTCTTAGTCCGCGGCATCACCCAGGTCAAGCACTCCCCACCAATCCCACTTGAGAGTGGAATATGTGACTGAAGTCACTGTAGTGGCCTGTTCCGGCTAGTCTGCCCAGTCCCAGAATGTCCTCTATTGGAGCCTCCTAGTCTATGGAAGAGTCCCTGTTCCTCTCACTCAACGCAGGTTCATAACGGGCTCTCCACCAGCTCTGCTCTCAATTCAGTTCACCAATTCCCACTCTCAGAGCCTTTGCATTTCTATCCCTGCTGTGCCAATTCAGATGCAGCAGCAGCAGCAGGAAATTCAAGCCATGGTTTCCAGAGGCACAGGTTCCAGCTTCGGCACTGAGACTCTAGCTGTTGAAATAGTAGCACCGGGATTGCATTTCCAGTTGGTTTCTCTCAGCTTAGTTCATTCCTGGGTTGGCAGGGTATATCTTCCCCTGCTTAGGACTCCCCACACTGCACCATTCGTGGAACCTAAGCTGGCTATCTCAGAGAACCTCTGTAGCTGCTGTTATCTATCCACCATGTTCTCCTAGAAGTCCAGAGCTTTGGGTTTAAGTTGCTCTTCTTTTTCTAGAAGCTTGAGATGAAGCATTAGGTTGTTTATTTGTGCTCATTCTTTTTTCTTGATTTGACAATTTATTGTTATATATATTTCCCCCTTAAGCCTGATTTCATTGCATCCCACAGATTACAGTATGTTGTTTCTGCATTTTCATTGAATTGTAGGTATTGCTTTATTTCTTCTTTAATTTTATCTGTAGTCCACTCGTTTTCCAGAAGGTTGTTATTTAAGTTCCATGTATTTATGCAGGTTTGTAATTTCTTATGCCATTGATTTCCAATTTCAGTGCACTATTATCAGATATTATGCATGGGATAATTTCAATAACTTTGCAGTTACTTAAGAATGTTTTATGGGATAATATATGGTCCATTTTAGAGAATATCCCAAGCATAGCTGAGAAGAATTTGTATTCTGATGTAGTTGGGTGGAACACTCTGTAAACATCTAAGTCCAATTGCTCTCAGATATTATTCAGTTCTATTACTCCTTTATTTTTTTAACAAGGCTTTTTAAGTCAGAAATGCCACCCTTTTTGCTAAGCACTTTATTTACCCATTGTAAATATACCTTCTCCTGATGACAGCTAAATGTGTGCAAATGGATCAATGCAAATGTATCACTATAGCCAGAGGAATTATTCAGATTATGTCCTCCAACTTGGGCTCAAAATAACCTTTAAATGCAAGAGATAATGCCTTTCCTTAGCATGTTTTGTTCAGTGGAAAATTATAATACATAGAACTTTAATAATACTTTAACATAGTTGAAACAGTTTACATGAAACCTATTTTTCTTTTCCTCTTATGAGAAAAATGGAAATTTTAATTTTCAAGAAGAAACCAGACATATCCATTTTCTATAAAAATTGTCAAGATATTAAAGACATATGGTAGAGGTTATGCTTTAAAGAGGGGAGAATATAAAGACATAAATTACTAAACATAACATCAGAAAAGAAAATGTAATTTTATGTCTCCCAAAGATAAAAATAGAAACAAAATTGTTCCACTTTATGCTTCATGTATGCTCTTTGAAATCTGAGGCCTAATGTTCTGTTGTTCCTAGAAACTCTTATTCTCTAAAAACTCTGTTACTGTGAGAGTTAATGACATGCTTTTTATGTGCTTTGCAGATTCAGAGTTGGATGCATCATCTCAATAAAACTCATTCAAGCCTCATTCACATGTTCTCCCTTGGAAGGTCATATGAAGGAAGATCTCTCTTTATTTTAAAGGTAAAAAGAAGAAAATGTTAAGTAAATATAAAAATGTTTACCAAGCATTTTTTTTTCAACTTTGACTTGTAATAAGACTGTAGGGAGGAAATGAAATGATCTTTCATAGAGTCTCATGTAACACTGTATAATTTAAGGGGACAAATTCCTCAAGATTTTAAAACTTGTTTTATTTTTGTCACTTTAGTATTCCAGAGAATATTGTTGGTTATATATGCATCTAGTTATTGAATCAAATCATTTGTAAGTTATTGCTATTTAAGATAACCCAATGCAAAGGTTCTGGTTATCTTTTGGACTCTAGTTCTGTTTTTCCTCTAAAATCCCTGTCCAAATGGCAACCTCTATTCCATATTATCAGTAGTCATCCCAGAACTTCCTGTCCAGTCAATCCCCTTCCTGGAGCTTTAAATTCATACAGCACTGCCTAGTTAACACTTTCACCTGGATATTCACAAAACCACCTCAGACTCATTGGCACACTGAGTATCATTTGAAGTTCTTCTCTTTTACTTTAATCTCTCACTTTAAATTTACTCTACATCTGACAGTTCTTTGGAATCAGCCCCCAACTTTTCACCCATCCTTACTGCTATTGCTCCAACTTCTCTCTACCCATGTTCCCTGGACTATTGAAACAGTAGCCTCAGTGCAGAATTTCTGTTTGAGTCTCCATCCCTGATGGAAGAACAGCATGCACAAGAAGCTGAACACAGAGCAAATAACACATGAAGTCCCAGCACACTATGTATAAGAGATGAAGCTGCATCCTAAATTCCATCTGAGGATTCTGTGTATGGGTGTCCATCCTGGACCATCTTATGCTCTAATGTATCCTTCACATTGCTGTCAGTGTGAACTCTCTAACACAGCACACAGGCACACACAGGCACAGAAGCTGGAATTTCATATTTTCTGCTCTTTGTTCAGCTTCTTGTGCAGTTCCTTCCTCAAATGACAGAAGCTGTTCCTCAAATACAGTACCCTCAGATTCAATTCCAAGCTTAAGATACCTTCCTCCAACTTGTCTACCAAGCAAGCATCCAAGCATCTTGCTCAAGTACACAAATGCTTCTCTTCTGAGAAACCTTCTTTTATACCCCAAGAAAATCTGATATTACACCTCTATCTTCCTAAGGTAATTTATGCATATTCACATCATAAATGATGATTGAATGTTTACTTGTCTGCCCTTCCCAGTAGGCTGTAAATTCTTTGTCTTTTCATCTTTGACTCTCCAGGGCTGAGCCAAATGTCTCACATTAAAAAGGATTTCCAAAAATGTTCATTGAGTGAATTAATGAAGAAATAAAAACTAGATTCTCTATTAATATAATGCTACCTGTTGATGACTAGATTAGAAACCAGGTTAGAAGTGCTGATGTAGTAGGACTTTTTTTAATCTTCCACTTAATGCTACAGACCAAGTTGTTTTGTTTGCATTTTGTGATTTAATAAACTTTGACTTTATTCACTAATAAAATATAGCTTTCTTTAAAGAAATATTCCTTGGGGAAATTTATGATTCTTTGAGAGAAAAGAGACAGGCAAATAGAAACAGAGACAGGAAAGAAGGAAAAAAAAGGAGAAATCTGCCTTTTTAATTGTCATATACTGTATCATGATGAAAAACTAACCCTCTTTTAGGATTGACCTTTTCCTTGTGTAGTCTCTAGTTCCTCTATTGTAATTAAGGCAATAAGTTTATTGTTTCAGCATAAACAAGCCTGGACTTCCAAAGTGGATAAGCTATCTCTTTATCCTTTTACTGTGTTACTTAATGAACCAAACTACTGTGAAAAACTAGGCTAAAACCTCATTAAATAATTTTGGTCAGTGAATCCAACAATAAAAGCCTGTGTTGGTTATTATGAATACTCTTGTTTTCAGCTGGGCAGGAGATCACAAGCCTACAAAAGAGCTGTCTGGATAGACTGTGGTGTTCATGCAAGAGAATGGATTGGCCCTGCCTTTTGTCAGTGGTTTGTAAGAGAAGTAAGTTAACCCCTTTGCACAGTTCCCATTTCAGCTAACCAGTAGTCCCATTTGTTTTTATTCTGCCCAATAATACAGTGAGAATTTGAAAACAGTAATATCTAATTGAATGAAAACAATACCTTGATTGTGTTGGCTGCTTTCATGTGTATAAGGCTCAATTTATCTTCACTTCCGCTCTTGAAAGCTGGCTTTATCAGCCCTGATTATAGAAGATGCTGATGAGGTTCAGAGCCTTTATGAACTTGTAACAAATTAGGAAACAGTCACAGCCACAGATATACAGCAGAAGGCTAAAATTCCAAATTGTGGCATTCTAATTTTCCATAGTACTATATGCAATTCAGAAAGTTCTACAACTTCCCTCTGAAAATGATGTCACATATACTATAATAATAAAGAGATGGAATGAATGATTGCATATGCCCTCCTGCTGTGAATCTATAATTCAGAAATGAAAAGATCTTTAGAATATGTGGATTTAATATTCTCAATTTCAGTTTTCCTTTGGCAACCTTAATAGTTGATGACTTATAGTGACTTCTTATTTTCTAATTTTTTGTTGGTTTATTTTTGTTTTGTTTCATTTTTTGGAATTGAGAGTTCTTTGAACTAGTTTAGTAAGAGGGGGCCTTATTCTAAGAGTGAGCTCATCCTGTAGGCCAATACCTTAGTATGCTTTGATTATTTTATATACATTGTCTAAAACATAGTGAGTTTTTTTTTATTCAAAGAGAAAGAAACAAAAAAAACATGGAGAGAAAAACAGGATAGAAATAACACAGATTTACAGAAAAAATAAACAGAAATCGCCAGTTGATAAGTTACATATTGTCATCTTAGAAATAGCTGTTCAGGTTAAAAAATTAAAGTATGTAAAGTGATATTCAAATGGTGACACTACCAACAGTTCTGCTCAATGAACCAACAAAAACTTAGTAATATATTATCATATTACTATCATATACCTGTTTTTTTTATCATATACCTGTTTTTTTTATCTTAAAGAGGGTAAGATTAAACATATCAAAACAGAACAAAACAGTTCAAAAAGAAACAATTTAAAGAAATACAGATTTCAAAGCAAGTCCACTGGAGATCTTCACTGTCTATCTTATTGTCTCTAGTTTTCTTCTGAATAGTTGTCCCCATCTTTGCACACTTTGAATACATACTGCACATTATAGAACTAATCAAATCATTACAGGATGATGAAGGCTTTCCAGGTCTTCAAGATCTGACATTGGGAAGACAGTAATGACTACCATCGTGTCTCTCATTCTCTTTGTAGTAGCTGTCCTTATCTTTACGTATGCTGAAATTGAACTTGAGACTAGACCAATATCCCTCTGAACAGTGAATAATAGTATTGCTAGATTTTATATCATAATGCTACAGAATTAGCATTGGGTTTCTTAATGTCTCTTCTTTTTCAGAGTATTTGTTCATTACATCTTGCATTATATAATCTGTTCTCGCAAATAGTTTAAAAAATTCTTCCCATGTGTGAATTTCTACATGTATATCTATCCTCTCTGTATTATAGGGAAAAACAAATCTTATCAAGACAGCAAAACAAATTCCTAGGAAAACATGCAATGAAAAAGACACATAAGACCACCATATTATCTGATCTACCGTAGTTACTATGCTTTCTCTTGTTATTTTCAATAGACTTGTCCACATCATCAGGCTTAATACAGTTAAGCATAATATTCCAGAGCTATTTTTATAGAAACACAACTTTGAAAAGATTGTAGGACTGAAAAGTGATTAATAATCAAAACTGGTATGGATATCTTTTACATCTTGTCATCTTCAGAGTAATTGTCTCTACTTTTAGACTTGATACTATCAAGCATACCAAATTCAAATAAAATCAGCCAAGGCAAAATCATGGTCTAACAAACCAGATTCAAATAAGATCAGTCATAGTAAGACAATGTAACTAACACAGGGTTTCAGTTTAATTTAATAGGAAATTAAGGATAGTTACCATGGTATAACCTGCTATTTTGGGGTTAGATGTCTGTGCCCTCAAATCTGATATGAGTGCACAGAGCAGAACAAAATAAACTCAAACTAAACAGAGTGATAAGACTACTGTGACTTTTACACTACTAACTGATACACTATTCACAATGACCTCTGCCTTTCCTTTTTTGGCTATTTTTCACCTTTCCCCTTCTCAGAATGCTTTGTATGTTTTGGGTCTCACTAAGATTTGGGTCTCACTTTAGATTAGGGAGCCAGACTGTTGGCTATCTGAGTGTTGCTGAACCTTTCTAGTCCTGAGCTTGATCTTGAGCTGTACGCCTTTACTCACTAAAGTCATAGGGTTTTCCTTCCTTCCAGCTGTGTAGTTCTACACTGCCCAAAAGTGTCATAGCTTTCCAATCTATCTGTGGCTGCTGCATGAGTTGTCCCTATTTCTCTCTGGTTTCCTGTCACATATAGCTTTACTTTCTCATCTTTGACTTTCAGTTTATTAACCCTCCTTTGGGTTGAGTGTATTTCCCATTCAGAGCATCTCGATGGAGTCTGTCTCCTAATCTACTCTGCCTGTTTTTTTTTATTTTAGTGTATCAAGGCTATCTATATTAAAGATTATAGCTTATCATCTCTACCTCATGTCTGCTACTTTACTGCCATAATTTATCTACCTTACTCCCTCATTCCACTGTCTGCCTGTTCATTGAGGCCTCTCTACCACTGTTGCTGGAATCCTGTTATCCCTTCTTCTCTCTCTTTGGAATGTCCTTCAGCACTCTCTGTAGGGTTGGGTTGGTGGCCATGAACTCCCACAGTTCCTCTTTGTCTTGAAAACATCTTATTTCTCCATTAATTTTGAGAGAGAGTTTTTCTGGGTACATCAGTCTTGGTTGCAAATTACTTTCTTTCAAGGCTTGGATAATTTCTCCCCAGACTCTTCTCAATTTGAGAGTTTGTTTTGAAAAGTCTTTTATTATTTTGATAATTTTTGCATTGTAGGTAATCTGCTTCTTTTCCCTGGCTGCTTTTAGTACTCTGTTCTTTTGGTGGATTTCTGGAATCTTGATTATTATATGTCTGGGTGTAGATCTGTTTTGGTTGTAAGTGGCTGGAGTTCTGTATGCCTCATTTATCTGGATATCATTTCTTTTTCCTATGCTTGGGAAGTTTTCCTTTAATATATCTGTGAATATTCTTTGTAGTTCATTTTTGGTTACTCCTGTTTCTGTGCTTATGTGCTTTATTCTTAAGTTATGCATCCTTTTGTCATCTTCTAGCCTTTGAATTGTTTCTTTCTGGTTCCTCATTATTTTTAAGAGGTCTTTTCTTTCACAATCATATATCATAAATCTCTCTTCAAGTTTCAAAAGGCTAACTCTAGTTTCTGTGACATTTTGCCAGTTTTCAATGGAGTTTTTAGTTTCCTGGTAATCTCTTTGGATCTGTTTCATGTATTCTAGGTTATGTTTAAATTCTTCATCAGAGGTTTTTCTTTCTTTTCTGATTTCCTCCGTTCTTCCAACTGTGTTCGCTTGGAAGGGGCTTGTCGTTTCTTTAATTAATTTCTTTATATCTTGCCTCACTTGAATCAGAAGTAACTTTTACATTCATCTATGAGGTCATGAAGGTATGTCTTTATTTCCGCTGATGCTGTGTCTAGTATTGGATGGTTACTGTGCTGGTTCTCTTCTGTATTTACTTCTCCTGGGCTTATTTTCCCAGGTTCAGCAGCAGGACATTTTTTTTATTTCTATTTCTTGTCATGTTTCTGGTTTCTTTCAGACTGGTGTGTCCTGGGAGTCTCTGGTGTCTCTGTATTGCTTAGAGTCTTTCTGAAGCATGCTGACTGGAGTTTTTGCTGCCCTCCTCAATTTGCCATTATCTGAGGTACAGGCAGGGATGCAGGGATGGTGCAAGCTAGCCTCCAGCTTCTGTGCCAGTCAATCCACAAGTTAGGCTGTAACTTACGGACGTCACAGAGTCATGACAATTTTGTATCTGCTTATTGGGTCCCAACCAGAGGCATAGTTCAGCCCCAGAGACCCTGCCAGTTCTCTTTGCACCAGGGGTGGCTGGCTGATGTCACCGTGGCACTGGGCTCTGCCCAAATACAAGCTGTCCTCCAGAGACCTCTCTGTGCCAGAGGTGACTATCTGATGTCATTATGGCACCAGGCTCTGCCCAACTCTAAGATGTCCTCCACTAGTTCTCTCTGTGTCACTGATGCCGCCATGGTGCCGGGCACTGACCAATTCCAAGATGTCCTCCAGCCAGTGACAGCAGCCATGGGACCCAGACCCTAGCACTCACCAGGAATCAATGCAGATCTTCCTCTTGGGTCCACTGCACACTGTGCTGAGTGTCTTCACTGCATCCCCAGCACTGATCCCAGCATGGAGCGGTCAGAAAACTACACGGTGTCCAGCTTCAGAGCCCAGGAGCTTCTCACAGTCTCCTCTGGTGCAGCCAGGTGGCTTTGACTGTTTTGCGGAGCCCCAGGTCTCAATTTCGAGCAGTCACTGAGAGCCAATATAGCTTTTCCCCTTGGATCCACTGCTCACTGCATGGAGTCTTGTCATTAAGGTTCCCAGATTCGCTGATTCCCGTTATCAGCAGTCGCGGTACACAGCACAACCTTGGATGTCTGAGCGCACCTAGTACAGCGTAGAATGGGGCTCAGTCAGAATGTAGTGAGTTTTATGATTTGATTTGGTTTGGTTTTAGCCTTGATTTTTAGTTTTGGGGAAAAAAGCAACAACAAAAACTTTTAAAAGAAAAATAGCCAGTAAATAGTACCAGTAAAGAAAGTGGAGCATAAGGAAAAGAATTTTGAGCCAGAGAAATAACCTTACTTTTTTACATCTTTTTACAACCTTACTTTTTAAAAAAATCTTGTACTTTTAAGGAACCATTAAAAGAAAAATATCTACTATATATATATGATAGATTAATAATATATATACAAGATATATAACTATACTACTAATCTCAGTTAGTTCATCAAAAGA